CCGCGCTGACGCGGGGGTGATCCCAACGCGGGCGTTCCAGGGTTGAACGCCGCCAGAGGCCCAGCATCGACCATCGGGAAGCTATCAGGAAGCTGCGATCGTTCAAGGTCGAACGATCCGCGCGGTGTCGGACACCAACGTCCACGTCGATACGGCGGCAACTTTCCTGCCCTCCCTGCCCTTCCCTTCCTCCCCTTCCTGCCCCTCCCCGTTCCACTTCCTGCCCTTCCCCGTCCTGCCCTTCCCTGCCCTTCTCCCCTTCCTGTCCCTCCCCTTTCCCTTTCCCAAGCCTCGTTCCTCGCGCAGGCCTCGTTCTTCGTGCTGGTGCCTCAGGCCGCGCCTCTGCCCCCTCCCACCCTCTCCTGCCCTCGCTACCTCCCCGCCTCCCTCGTACCCCTCGTCCCTCCCTCGTCCCCCTCGTACCCCTCGTACCCCTCCCTCGTACCCCTCGTACCCCTGCCCTCCCTCGTCCCCCTCGTCCCCCTCCCTCGGACCCCTCCTTGGCCTCGTCCCCTGCCCTCGCTACCGCCCCGCCTCCCCATCCATTCGTCTCCCACAGCCTTCCCGTGTAGTTCGGCGGCGAGCGAGGGGAAGTGAGAAGGAGAAGGCCTTCTCAGTAGGCGGCGGGACTTCTGGGAAGCCCTCGCGCCTTTGAGAAGTTGTTTTGTGTCTTCGCGAGAGGCTTAGAAAACTTCTCGGAAGGCACACGGATTTCCGAGCCTTCTGAGAAGGCCCGCCCCTTCTCACTTCCCCCCCTCGCTCGCCGCCTAGTCGTTTTCGTGATCCTGTCGTAAAGCGGGAGAGCCAGGCAAGCAGCCAGGCGTAGCGTCGCTCCCGCGAGGCCCGCGCTTACCTCTCCCCCCGCCCAGGTGCTTGCGCACACTGCACACGAGATGAGTAAACGTCGGTTCGCCACATCGTCGGTATCGCCCAGCCGTTGGCATCTCGTTCTTGCAATCTGGGCAGTCGCTGGTAAAGTTCCTGTCCTGCGGCAGGCTGCCCCACCCACTCCGCAGCGCGACAGCGAGCTGACGAGAGCCATCGCCTTTGCGAGTGGGCTGTGTTTCAATCGTTTGTCTGGACCTGTTGGCAGGATCGAGCCGCCGGTAGCCACATGCAGCTGCTGCGGACCTTTCACCGTCGGGTTGCTGGCTGGCTGGTTGCGCGCAGCTGTGGTCATTGACAAGAGATGGCGGCCTCTGGAGCGCGCTTCCACTGTCACTGAGCGCACGTCCCTCGCTGTTTCAGTGGACTCGTGGCCTCGGGCTCAGGGGCGAATTTTCAGGAAATGAAGTTTGGGGTTAAGTCGGGCCTGTCCCTCTACAGGAGGAATATTCAAACATTGTCAAAAAATAGTCAGGGGACGATGTTTCTACTATGTTTGAGTATTACCTGAATATGGTTTGGATATTTTTTGATTTTCCATCCAACATTCCCCTGTAGGGGGACAGGCCCGACTTCAGTTTAGGGAATGGAGCGCGCCTCGTGGGGCAGGTTCGTGGCCTCAGGAGTGCGAACTTGTAGCGAGTTTTAAATGACTTGTGATCTCGGGAGCGCGAAGGGGGGTATTGCCTCGGAAGCGCGAACGACTTGCCTTTTGAAAAAAATTGCCTCCGGAGTGCGAACTTGTAGCGAGTTAAGAACGAATTGTGATCTCGTGCGAGCGAAGCCATCGTAATTTGCGAGGGGGTATTGCGTCGGAAGCGCGAACGATCTTGTTTAATATAAAAAAGGCTGTGGCCTCGGGAGCGCAAGCTTGTGGGTTGTGGCAATTCGTAGGGGACTACTGCTTCCGAAGCAGTGCTTCGGGAGCGCGGAAGTGCTCCTGTTTAGACTTGGTTGTGGTCTCGGCAGCGTGATCGCGCCATAATCTACGAAGGATGGAGTGTGCGCGAAAGTGTAGCATTGAGTCGGACGTGTCCCTCTACAGGGGGAATATTCAAAATCTCTTTTTAGAAGAAACGAGAGATAAGAACAGGAAACAAAAAGCACGTGTGGGTACGATGGTTCAGCTATGTTTGACTATTGTCGTGCATATGCTGTCTATGTGTCATGCTTGTTCCAACACCCGCCTGTAGGAGGACATTCCCGACCTGAGTGTAGCACTTTAGCAAGGATTGGGCCCTCGGGAGCGCGCGCGCGACGTCACGCGGAAAGGGCGTCCTGTGTCCTCGGGAGCCCGAGCGCGCCGTGTATTTGTTCTCTCGATATGGAGGCCGTCGTGTACTCTTGCGGTGGACTGCGGTCTCGGGGTATGAAGAGCTCGTGGTACAGCAGGGGCTCGACCACAGAAGTAATTAGGGGCCCGACCACGAGAAACCTTCCACCAGAAGCCCAACCCTGATACCCCAGGACGTCCATGCACTGTTGGTGTGGGAGCGTCGCGCCCTCCACAGCAAAGCCATCGGAGCCCAAGCAACCCAGGGCACCCAGGAGGCAAGCAGGGCGTTTCTTGGCATGGGCCTCCACTGTATGAAGAGCTCGTGGTACTGCTCAACAAATTACAGCGGAGGCCCATGCCAATAACCACCCTGCTTGCCTCAAGGGAGCCCTCGGTTTCTCGGGTTGCGATGGTTTTGCTGTCGAGGGCGCGACGTTCCCACACCAATAGTAGGTTGGATTTCTTGTGGAAGGTTTCTTGCGGTCGAGCCCCTACTGCAGTTGCTCTCCAAGGAGACCGCCGTACTTTTCAATGGGCTCTGGCCTCGGGATGGACGTGGTGCCTCACAACAGGTTGTGGCCTTGAGAGCGCAGGCCCGACGCAGTTTTTACCCGGGGATGTGTGACCTCTAGAGGGCCACGTGCGAGCCCTGCCCCCTACCCCCCACGAGTTCTGAGGGGGGGGGGGTCACTTCGCTCGGGAGCTCCCGAGCGAAGCGAGCCCCACCCCCCCCCCTCAGAACTCGTGGGGGGGGGTAGGGGGGCAGGGCTCGCACGTGGCCCCCTAAACCCCGGGGAGCACGGGTGCGCCGTGCTCCGCGGAGGGGCCGTGGCTCCGGGAGCGCGGAGGAGCACCTCATGAGCCATGAGGGGCCGTGGCCTCGGGGAGCAACGGCGGCTCCCGCCCGAAGCCTCTCTCGTCGAGGGCGCCCTCGAGGGCGCGAAGTTATTCGCGCTTCGCGCTTCGCGGTTCGGCTCCTCCCCCTCCTCCTCCTCTCCCCTGGGAGGCGGCGCGAGAGCGCGAAGTCATTCGCGCTTCGCGCTTCTCGCAGCGCGAAGCGCGAAGTTGGGAGCCCTTGTTCCTCACAGTGTATTCAAATCGCGCTCTCGCTTTGAGACTTCTCGATGATTTTACACCGGAGTTTTGCGCTCTCGCTCAGGATACCTTCCTGAGTTGCTGCGCTCTCGATGCCCAGGAATCGCGCTCTCGCACGGAACTTCCCTGCAATGTTCTCGGTACTCGTGCTCTCGCTTCAGGCTTGTTTTGCAATTTCGCATGTTTGCGTCCATGCTCCGCCCGCCCGACCAGCCCGTTAGAGTCCGCCCGCCCGACCAGCCCGTTAGAGTCCGCCCGCCCGACCCGCCCGTCAGGGTCCGCCCGTTCGCCTGTTTGGAAGCTTGCCCGCCCGCTGCAATACTCCGGCCGATCCGCCCGCTGGGGTCCGCCCGCCAGGCCCCCTTGGTTGGGGTCCGCCCGCCCGACCTGCCCGTCAGGGTCCACCCGTCCGCGTGCTCGGAAGCGCCTGTTGGCGTCCGCCCGCCAGTTGGGGCAGGCCCGCCTAGCCCGCCCGTCAGGGTTCTCTTGCCACGTGTATCGTTCCTCTCGCCTCCCCCTCCTGCTAAACCTGACTCGCCCTCGGTCCTCGTCCCTCCCTCTTGCCCCCCTCCTTTCTGGGTTCCGCCCCCCTTTCCTCGCTTTCTCCCTTCTCCTTTTCCCTCCTACTGCAGGGGCCGCGTCAACTAAACGTGGCAAGCAAGGAAGATGTGCTCCCAAAGTGGGCACGATCGAGCGCGAGCAGCGCAGAACGAACAGTCTTAACATGACTGCTCAGTTGCTATTGTTGGACCCCCTACATGCGCTTTGGCGCTCTGGCCTCGGCGCCGACTGCATTTCCTTCGAAGTTGAGGCTCACGCTCAACCTCAGGAAGGGCGTCCTCGCCTGAGACTTCCTTGCACGTTCGCGACACAAGGGGGTCCTTCAGAACCAGGTTGCTGCTACTCGCGGATGCCGGAACGGCGTTTTCGCGTGAGACTTCTCGGCAATTCAGCACCACAGGGGGGATCCTTCAGAGCATTCCGGCTGCTACTCGTAGATGCCGGAACGGTCGTTCCGCTTGGCATCATGATGGACGCATGTGGCATACAGAAGCATGGTGCATGAGGGTAAACTTATTGTTGTTGTCGTTGCATCCTCATATCTGAAGAAGAACTACTTTTGATTCCCCCCCCCTCCCCCCGCGGTGCCCATTCTGCATGTTTCAGTTGAAGTGCCCCCTCCCTGGCCTCGCGCCTCGTTTTTTACAAGAGCAAGAAAGCCTTGAGGCTCAGATTGGGTTGCTGGCCCCGATGTGCAACAATAGCGGCTCCCGCCCGATATTTCCTCCTATGCTAAATCGCGCTCTCGCGCGGGACTTCCTCACACTGTATCGAATAATCGCGCTCTCGCGTGGGATTCCCTCGCGTTTTTTGAGGCCGCGCCCCCACTACTCAGGAATCGCGCTCTCGCTCTGGACTTCCTACGATCGTGCCACCAATCTCGCGAGACCTCCCCGCGAGTTGTGCAGGACTGGCGCTTCAGCGACCCGCCCGTTCCGCCACACCGTCGGGGCCCACCCGCCCGACCCGCCTCTTTCAGGGGCCCGTGCGCCCGACCCGCCCGTCTGGTTTTGCCGCTGGTTTCTTCTGCTCCCAGCCACCCTCCTGCTATGTCATCTCTGCCGCGTTCCATCATTATCTCTCTCCTCGTTGTCACTTCCCTCGTCCCCTCTCGTGTCTCAGGGGCTGCGACAACTACCCGCGGCAGGTAGGAGAGACCTGCCCCCACAGGGGGGGGGAGCAC